ACCCAAACCTGAAGAAGCAGCAACCCGAGTGCCTTAATAATATGAAATTAGCATATTGTGCATCCAGGTTGGAAACCTGAGGTTGCAAGACAGTCATTCTTTGCATTGGCTGGAGCTGGGTCAGCGAAGAGGTTTCTGTTGTTGCTGTGATTGTTCCTAGGAATCATAGAAGTTAAATTGTGTTTTCTACTGATTGTCAGTTGAACTGCATTCATCTCTCTTTGTATCTGCTTATGTAGTTCTTCCAATAATTGCAACATCATCCAGATTCCACCACATTCAACATTTTTAGACATAATACATTCATATTTATATTTATCTTAAAAGGCTGTGATTTGGAATGCTCCTGAGATTACCATAAGTAACCTATTCACTGTAAAATACCATAGTATTACCAAGTATACATCAAACTAAAATCTACATGGAAGGAAAACACAAATACTTAGAAAATGCATAAACCTTTGCATTTTCAGTGAATGTACTACAACCACTTTGCTTACTACAATGGCAGTACCTGCCACAGTCTGCAGACCTTAGGCCAGCTTTATCACAAAAGGATTTATTCGATGGTCAGTCTCAGCACAGCTGGAAAAGTAGCAGCTATTCAACTGACAATAACCATATGCTGAACATAAGGTATCTGAACACCTCTGTGGAAGATGCCCTAAGAATTCATGAGATATGAGCACAGCAGATTTTCAGTTTTGATGTCAGTATCAACAAGTTTGATTTCTGTTTAATACAGCATAACGAATTTCTTGCTTTATGTATAGTGTGATAATTACTGTACAGAAGTGTACATATGGATGTCTTACAGAGCTCAGAGTTGCCTGCCAAGCAAAACAAACACTACCAATTAGGTCATGAACTTTTCAGTATCCTTCAACTACAACCTTCAGTATCTTTCAACTGCAAAACATGTAAAACACTTTCAGATGTTATAAAAGCCAGCATGTGATGTAAAGTCTCTAGGAATAAAGGCTAGTATACAAACATAGGGACAGCCTATAATACTTTTATGTTAAGAGTGACCTTGAGGAGAGCAATTCAGTACTCAACAGCAGCTCTAGAACAATTTGCAGACATGACAAGACATGTTGTCCTCAAAAGGCAAAACCAGAATACCTGTATTTGAGAGGGCTTTAGCTTTCAAGGACACTTTTTGCTATGCTGTTTCACTGTGAGGTAGGGACTCTGCTTACATTACTCAGGTTAATTGGCCTTTTCAGGAACAACATTCACTTGTACGTCTGTACTAGATCCAATACAGCAAGCTACATTAGTGGTCCATATTTTAGTCTTCCTTCGTCCTGTGTTTTACATCTTGCCTTTCCTAGCATTGTAAAATGAAGCACAAGGTTGGAGGAAATGTAACTTAACTTTAAAACACAGTGAATGCCTCACAACTCAGCAAAATGGAAAAGCTTTTATGCATACACAACTATATAAATATGTCCAGTCTCTCTCAATACATGTTGTTCATGTTTGTCAACATTGTTTAGGTCTGAAGACTACATTAACATTGCACACAAGAAAATTGAGTTCAGGTAATACAATTCTATATGGCTTATAGAAAGTTTGGGTATGAAGTATAGCTGTAAATGATAGTAAACTTTTATCTCTTCATGCCATACTGTACTTCTTTACTTAGACATATCTTTATCCCATAATGGTTTAAAAACATGTCCTTACTGCAGCAGATTTTGCCATAGCATAAGGCTCTTACTCAGTTTGTGACTTGAAGGCAGAATATTTTGTCAGTGAACGCATCAACTGTGGGCTCTGGAAAGGACCGCATAGAGAAGGAAAAAAGGTAATGTCTGAAATGAATCATAGTTTGCTGTTAGTAGTGGATCAGAATATGTCGCTCTCAATTGTCAGAAACAGCAGAAATATGCCAGAGACAGCCCCTGTGCTGAGAAGTTAGCTTCTGTGGGTAATGACATACCTTTTCTCATCTCATTGGAACTCACATGCAGAACAGAACAAAATAATCTCATTTCCTTTTGTTTTGCTTCTAGTGATGACTGCTGTAACCAATATTTTTATTACATAATTGTTAAATTGTTCTCACTTTCCAGGGACAAAAAAGGAGACTGGAGAATAAACAAATACAATGGCATCACTGAAGTCCAGAGCAAAATACCTATTAAGTGGCATAGTTGACCTTTCATTTATGTAGTGGCATGCTTACACAGCCTTCTGCAAATATCATGCAGAACTCCCACACCTGCAGCCTCGGCATCGGAACACTACAAACCAGTGATCACGTACTCATCGGTGCTGGAAGGGCAAGGACATTACTTCAGGCAGTGATAAATGCAAGTCTATGCGACTAAGTCTTTGAAAAAAGAGCTGTTCATAGGACTATTTAAAAAACATGACCCTCAGCTTGCATCAAAATCCCATACAGTGAGTTTAGCCAAAACTAGACACATGGTATCGCACTAGCAGATCTCAGTACAAGACTCTGCTTTACAAATATGACAGGAGGCAGCAATTAAAAACAAATAAATAACAACAACAACAAACTCAGCTACAAAAGGTACTTGTTATGAATAGCTCTTTTAGGACACAACGAGGTACTAAACTTGTGCTGATTAATAAACTTAGTTAACAAGTACAGAGTATGGGGAGGAAACCTCTCCTATTCAGAAAATATTATGAGATAAAAAGACTATTTTAAACAAATTTTTTACTGGTAACACATTCTATAGAATAATTTGAAGTCTTGAAACTCCATTAGAAAGTACAATTTCATTAATGATACGATATATCCTCCATGTGAAATATAATTCCTTAAAAAAAACATTACCTAGTTACACAGTCCATATTGGAAATACTAAAGAAACACTCCATTAAAAAATAAAAAGATCATTAAAGGGTTAAGTTTCTGGTTAGCATCTCCATCATGTCTTGCACAAAACAAACAGATATGGTGTTTTTTAAACTATTTTGGTAATAGGATACACAAGGAAGAGTTCCATTAAATGATTACAAAAAACCACCTTTATGTCTACTTGAAGGGAATGACATCAGATGTGAGGTTAGGGATGTAATGCTGCAAGGTAAACACACATCCTTTCCCATTCTCAGCTTCAGTTGTGTACAGGCATACAGAGGAGCCTAGTTCTTCCATCCCAAAACTTTAACCTTCAAAATATGAATTATTAGCCAGCCCTGTTAAGACGCTTCCTCACTTGCAGACAAACAGATGCTATAGATTGATTTGTCCCCTGATCACTGTTAGAGTTGTTGACTGAAACACTGAAGACTGACAGGTTTTTAATTGAATTCTTTGGTGTCCATCTGTAAATTGTGTTAACCTTCTTTCCATTTAATCTTCATCATATACACAGGCTCTCTACAGAACGCAAGGTTTCTTCAGACTAGTCAGAGACAGTAAGTCAAAGAAAGAAAATCTAAACGGTCTAGATTAAGAAGTATTACGGTTCCTCAGCTGAACTTCAGTAGCTACTCTCGTACATTCTTACACCAGGTACTTACATGTTGGCAGATTTCTTCAGACGGTATAGAAAATTTCTAGAGTTATCATTTCTCCAACAAAACTGTTTGTTTGAAAAGAAATGTCTTATCTCCATTTCATTCAATATAAAATTATTTAACTATTTATAGCTACATATGTGTAATAAACAGTGTGTACATCTGTATAATCTGACTGAGAATGTAGCAGAAGAGATGGCTTTCTTTATATCAGTAATCTCAGTAACTGTGGTAACTTGTGTGTTCATAAAACATACATTCTTTCTTGCCATGCACATACGTGTAAGTTCTTTTTCGTTCAAAACTACAGCCACTTTTTGTTCCAGTTATCCAGCTGAACTCTTATATTGGAAGTGCAATTATAAGTCTACGACGTAATACTAAATTCACAGCTTAAAGCTGGTCATTAATATCATCTATATTTCCTTCTTCATAGTTAGTTACTTTTTTCTTGCATTTCTTGCTTATCTCTCTTCAAAGAAATCTGATGTTTCTGTCTTGTTGAATTAGTCTAGCACTCCCTAAAAGTCAAAACTTACCAAACAGAAGACAAAATCTTTGTTTGCTTAAAGGACCCAAAGAAGATAAAAATTAAAATACCCACATTCATACATATGTTTTATAATAAACCCTTCATTACCAAAGTAATTTTGCACACTCAGTACTTCACAAGGTTAAAAAAACAATAAATTACACTGAGTGAGCTGTTGCCAGGGTGACAGAAGTGAGATATAAAAAATGACTGAACTGAGGTGGTAAATGAAAAGAAAACAGTTTCATGACTGACAACATGTCTAGAAAGGAAAGGGCCTGATTATAGGTATTCAGGGAATCTCATCCCTCTCTTCATTCCTGTACTCCCCAAGAGAAAGGCTTCTTGGGACAACAATGGAGATGGGAGTCTCCAACTGACAGGCGACTTACCAGTATGGGTGTCTGAGATTTGTGCTACAAATGACTTACCCTGATAATAGTTTTCTCTGTACTAAGCTAAAACAGCTCTAAACTGAGAATCCCTCTCCCCTTTCGAAGTAAAAATGTCAGAGATGTGGAGCAGAGCCTGTGAGACCTAGCAGAGGAAATAAACCTCTTTTATTGTGCTTCTTTCACACTCAGAGGGACAGCATTTCTAAGCCTCAGCCCATATCCAGGTTCAGGAATTCTGACACATATGAATGACAATGTTTCATCATGTATCTATTGGTTAATGCTTCTGATATTTAAGGCAATGTTGTTTATTGCCAAGACTTTAAAGATATTTTTATTAAAGTAAGAGATGTACAAACAGATCTAGGCCCTTTGGGCATATATGTTCAATGTAAAAATCAATATACAGATATGTTTTTCCCCAAAATGTACATAAATAAATAAATAAATAAATTATATACTAAACCAATTCTGAGTTTTGTTTTGAATAGTATCAATCTCATACAAAATGACTTCCTAATATTGGCACTCACTCATATCATTTCCTGTACACAGGAGTAGAAACATACCTCATGATGACCAGCTATTGTGGCAATATGAAGGGCTGTCAAGGCTCCATATCCAACTTGCTGAATATCAGCTCCACCATGCAGCAGTGCTGTTACTAGTTCTGCATTGTCCTAAAAGGTATGCATGTAAAACACCATTTCTGGACTCAGGTATCAAACATACTCACAATATCAAACACATTCTTCCAGGTATAACAACAGCAATGGGAACTATCAAATAATAGTGATAAAGTCATGCTTGAGAAAATGTTAACACATTTAGTTAATAATTTCTCCTTTAAAAACAGTGAAATTAAGCACAGAGAATTAAAATGATTGGTCTGGTGGTAGAATTAATAGGAGAAGCCACACCATTTTTCTCACTATTACTTGTTCTAACTGAACCAAACAGAGCTATCATAATTTTTACTTCTTAGGGATCTATCTTCCATCATCATCCAGCCCAGAGAAGAGACTTCTCCAATTTTTATTCACTGTTTGCTAAGGAGAAGTGTACACAATGTAAAGACAAAAGAGATGCTAAAAGCTCCAAACTTACTTATTTCTCTCTTTCTCCCAGAAATAATCACTAAATGAGTTCAGGCCAAGAATGAATCAATGACAGAGAAACAGCAGTTAAAATATGCCTTTGGAAGTACAATATTTGTTCATACTGAAGTGGTTTTCCTATTGCCAGGAATTATTAGGAATTTATTTGTGATAACAATGGACAGCAAAAAGTTCATATCCCTTTTCCTATCAAATAGTTTTAGACACAGGTTGCATGTTATAAGTTATAAGGATTGAACAACGTAGTTTAGAATATAAACTCCAAAATTTGATCTTAGTTTGCTCTAAAAAGCTAAATGCTTTTGTAGATCTGGAGCTAGTCTGTAGATGGATTAATTTTCCAAGATGCTCCATCTGCATAATAAGAATCATAACAACCCTTTTGAAAAAGGCAGTCTTTGCTCTGTTCCTTGCTACTGGTATTGTTGTCTTAACAGATGAATATAATGGTGAAGAAAATTAGAATTACATCGGCACATGAAGCTTGAGGAAGAACAACAAAAAAGAAGCAAAAACCAGAGAAATTGTAAAATAGAGTCCTTTGAGATTATTTCTATTAATAGCTATAGTGTTAAAAATAATAATCCGCTATCCTGAGTTGCATTGCATAATTTAATCAATATTTCTAAAGCAACATCATATCCCCATGGATGACAGTGCAAAAATAAATGCTGATTTCCTGTACATGTGCTCTGTATAGGTTATTTTCCTGTTCATTGGAAATGTGAAATTGATATTTTCACTGGAAGTAGCAATTAAAGAGTTCAACTGGAGAGTTCAGACATCTCAAACTGCTCAATTCTGATTGCTTTTCATCAATTCTATTTGAAGTAGTTTACCTTCTATTCAAAATAGTTTACCTTGTAAGCTGCCAAGTGCAGAGCGGTAAATCCATTTCTTGTTAATCTGGATGGGCGCAGTCCTTTTAGCATAAGAGTTCTAATATGTGATTTGTTACCTTTAGAATGAAAATTGGAAATCAAAATTATTTACAGAAAAAACATGCAGGTGGGAGTAAGAAACATCAGTGTGAGTTTGAAAGCAAAGAGAAATAGGTAATAAAAATTTTGCACCCTTAAAATTGAATTAAGCACCATCTCCTTACACACTGGGACCTGGCCGTGAAGTGGCTTGCTGTTCATACTTCAATAAGAATTGGTTAAGGAAAGTTGAGCTTCTAAAGAAACAGAATCCTCTTTTAACATCCAGACTATGCTACAAAGAATTCCATTAATTAACAGATGCTTCCAGAAGCTCTGGTTTCTCAGACACATAACTCTACGTCCTTTCAGAAGTGAAGCTTTGGTCCTCCCTCTGTACACAGTATTATTATAACAATGATACTTCTGATGGATGATAATGAATACCAGCTTGAGAAAGTAGCTTTATTCCTACTTTTCTGATGCAGTGATGATCTCAAAAAATGTTTTTCCTTCTGAATAATCATGACTATATTTAAGGACAATGTCAGCTGTAATAACTAAATGCTCACATACTCTAGCTAATTAATTAATAGTGTATGTTTTCTTAAACTTCCTCTCATCATTCCCACCAGTTACTCTAATGTTACCAAGTACTGATGTCATCTTTAGATATGATCTTGTACTCTCTAAAATTAAGAGTAAAGATCCACTTGGTGTTCAACAGTGCAGGATCCAGTCCTCCTTGATGATAACATCTAACTAAGATTGAGCAAATAATTTATGCATATTATTAGTACATATTTTGTGGAGCTGAAACGTTAGGGTAAAATTCTCTTTGCTTGTCCCAGCAAATGTAAAAAGTGCAAAATTGTTCATGAACTAATGGCTCACTAGGTGGATAACAAAGGAACAATGTGGGTTAGATTTACACACTTAATTAAATTACACACTTAACGTGCATTTGTGAACATGCCGGAAGACATCGTGCATTCTTTTCTTGCATACCCTGATTTGTTATCTGCAAAAATCCTATCAGCTGATATTTTTCAACAGAGCGTTTGAGTTATTCTTTTTATCACTTTAATATAAAATACATATATATACATTTTACTAGAAAAATGGCTATACATTGTATAAAAACACAAGTAAAAAATAAATAAATGTGTTATGTATTGCAAAAAAAAAAAAATTAAAATTAAAACTAGCTCCCTATCCTGAAGTCTATGCCATGTACAGAATACATAATTGTAGAAAATATTACCTGATGAATATGGATGGATTAACTAATGAATATAGTAAGTAATTTTGAAATAATTGAACATTTGTAATAAAATATGCCACATTATCAGTCACAACTTCTCTTGGACTGAAGAATCAGTTACAACAAGGTTTGGTGTAACTTGATTCAACCAGCTTGGCAAATAGCGTTCCAATACTTGTGGATGCTTATCCAAGTGTCAGCAATGACAACACAAAGAAAGAAATTGACTGAAGATAAAATCTTCCTGACAGTTATTAGACAGAACAAATAATAACCAGGTAAATAAGATGCTTAATAAACATATTTCAGATACATACCCCCACATATGCAACATAAATGAAGAAGAGAAAGGCCATTTTCTGTGCGGTAATTTAAATTGACTTTGCAGAATGCTTCATCAGAGCTGAAGAAAAAGATTTTTACAGATGATTACTGTTTTCATCTTTTAGCATAGTTTCTTTCATTTGGAAAACATTTAAAGGGAAATCTCAGTGGAATTTTGTGGAGACACAGTGCTGAATTTAGACCCAGTTTGCACTCTGTAAATATAGAAATACTTTACTGATATCAAGCTGAGTTGGAAGGGACCCTTAAGGATCATCAAGTCCAACTCTTGACACCGCACAGGTCTACCCAAGTTCAGACCATGTGACTAAGTGCACAGTCCAATCTCTTCTTAAATTCAGTCAGGCTCGGTGCAGTGACCACTTCCCTGGGGAGCCTGTTCCAGTGTGCAACCACTCTCTCTGTGAAGAACCCCTTCCTGATGTCCAGCCTAAACTTCCCCTGCCTCAGCTTAACTCCATTCCGCGGGTCCTGTCGCTGGTGTTAATGGAGAAAAGGTCTCCTGCCTCTCGACCCCCTTACGAGGAAGTTGTAGACTGCGATGAGGTCTCCCCTCAGCCTCCTCTTCTCCAGGCTGAACAGGCCCAGTGTCCTCAGCCGTTCCTCGTACGTCTTCCCCTCCAGGCCTTTCACCATCTTCGTAGCCCTCCTCTGGACACTCTCCAACAGTTTCATGTCCTTTTTATACTGTGGTGCCCAGAACTGCACACAGTACTCGAGGTGAGGCCCAGTAGTCCAGAAATATCTTTCAGTAAATTAAGTTAGTGGCTAACTTTGATTGTTTTCTGAACAATAAAAAATAAAAAGCTTTTCAGGAAGTAAGTCTATGTTCTCCAAAAGATATCTCAGAAACAGAATAAAATCATTAAATATTTATATTTAAATATTTATATGAAAGAACTACAGAAGCACATACATTCCTTTAAATCTTACACATGTAGCTGTAACATTATTAAGAATTATACATAGGCTTTTCATTTCTGATAGCATTGAATGGAGCTGTCAGAATCCCCAGATTACTACTGTACCTGAATTACCAGCATTTAAGGTCTGGTTTCATCCAAATCCAGTCCTTCCTCTGAATCAGAAATACTGGGGCAAGAGAAGGGGTATTTGTTTTGGGAACGTTTGGTATTTTCAGACATGCTCAAGCATCAGCAATTAGGAGAACCAAGCAGTAGGTTTGTCTGGGAATCTGCAGACCTCAGTGGAAGTTTAGGAATTCTAGGTCTCCTCCTAATTCCTTTCGGAGGACATAATTGCATGTTTTAGAGAAATGAAATTCTCACTTTTTATTTTTAGGGTGGTCTTCTTAGTAAATCATTGCTTTACTAACTCTGAGATATAGGAATAGGATAGGGACAACTTTTATACAAGAAATGACAGGTGCCATGCTACTTGTAGATTGACTTTTATAAATTTACTTTTCACTATTGCAGCTGTGCTTCCCTGCGCTCCCCTCTGCCCTCCCCCCCCAAACAATTCACCCATTGACGTGTATATATTCCCTAAATGTAAAGTGGGGCTAATGAAATTTATTTCCTCTGCTGGGCTTTGAAAAAATTGTTTTATTTACCTTCCAAATCTTTCATGGCAGGGATTTTAATAGCTACTTATTAGATTTCAATCAGGCAAATTAGCATCTTCTACTTATCTTCTAACAGCTATCCTGTTTCTTAGTCCTAACTTCTTCTAATAAATAAAACTTACTGGGGAGGAGGGAGGGGGGAATCACTTATTTTTTCTGATACTTCAGAGAAAAGAAGTTTTCAGAAAATAACCACTGTTACTGTAGAAAACTTTTTTTTTTTCTTTTTGTTTTTAATAGGCCAGTTTTGGATTACAGATATTTTAGAAATCTGTCTGGTTCCTGGCTAATAATAATAATAATAATAAAGCCTTGTCAGTACAACATAACCAGTGTCCACCATTTCTCTGAGCAGTGCTCTTTATCTAAGAAGAGGAGTTTGGCTGATATCTTAAAGAGACTTGCTTCAGTTGGCAAGATGGACTGAGAAACTCTGCTGCAACAGATCTACTAGCCTTGAAATTGCTGTTTCTTGTTTCTTTTATCTAATACATCTATATGCTATATCTCTATATGGTGTATCTCAATTTTGAGTGTATTGCAACTGTTTTGCTTTTCTAAAATAATGAGTACTCTGGCTACAGTTTGTAAAGATAATTACTAATAAACAGGCTTAAAATTAAGGAAGTGCTGAAGTATCTTACCAGATCACGGCCAAAATTGTCAGCATATTACAAAATCAAGCCCGATGACTTCCTTCAATTAACAAGCTCAAACAGTGACAGTTATTCTAGCTGAAATTGACCAAGATGCATAATTTGTATCACCTTATTTATTTATTTATCTATTTATCTATTTATTTATTTATTTATTTATGTTGAGTTTGTGATGTATTCTGATTAGAATCCTCTATTTTTTCAAGTGGCTTTGATATCTGAAATTATTTACCAGATAATTTTCTTAAATTAACTTATTCATAGTCAATGGGATGGGTGTTTTCTCTGTTTGAGCTTTTCAGGTGATGAACATGTAGGTATGTTACTTTGTTGGGTACACACGGTTATTAGCATGTGATGTCCTGAGAAAGTGACTGCAGTTATGAATTTGAAATTCACTTCTGGAAGACAATCTGCTTAAGTGTTTAAGATTTTTTACTTAATTCCTGTTCCTGACTAAAGAAACACACAATAAAACTTAAAGTACATAATAAAATTAGACATACCATTAAATCTAATTTGTTTACAAAACCATATAGATGTTTGCTACAAAATGTTGATTTAGTAATTAACAGCCACTAGTTCTGGTACTGTCCTGAGACTTTTACCCACAACTGTAAGGACATGTTCCAAGAAATACACTAAAGAACAGGCTCCTTCCATAAGAAAACACTTGAACCTCAAAATATTGTTTAATAGCAAATACTCATCTGAAAGGCATTCATAAGCAGGTTTCCTGAATATTTTACCTAAAAACATGCTTCAGTTCTGCCAGCTCCTTTTCTTTGATTTGCAGGTCATCTTCTAATCGTTCTATGATTATAGCATATGATTCACTAACTTTCTTCTTCCATTCATCTAGCAACAACAAAAAAAAAAACGACTCATGAAACCTTCAAAACATACAAAAACCAGGAACTGAAATCTGAATGTACCACTAACCAAAACACTAAATTTTAAACACACAATTATACACTATTTCATATATTTTTCTATTGAAGTAAGAAAGTTTAATTACAATGTGACAGCCATGAAATCATTCTTGCTACAACCCACATAGATACATATAGACCGATTTCATAGACAACTAATACATATGAATCCTTATCAGAAATATTTTTAATTTGTACAAGAGAAAACTTTAACCATAGGTTGCATTTTTCAATTCTTATTACCTAAATCTTAGCATAGACACACAGCTTAGAAAGACCAAAGTTTTAAGGTTTTTCTAATGAATTATGAGTTAAATCAATACAATAAATTAAGCTAATATGATCTTACATGATAGCACAAAGACTTTTACAGACTGCATATATGATTTGGATTATTCAGTGTAAACTAACAATATAACACCTTATCCGTGAACTCAAGAGTAAATTAGCAATGAGTTATTTAATCAAATATGATTTGTTTCTTGTAGATGGAGGTATGGTATATTGTATTTAAAAAAGCCAACATTAATTACCAGTACAAGTTTGGGTTGGTCTAGATTTATAATTTCCCATTTGTTCAATGTATCTTCTTTGTTTCAGCAAAGTCTTGCAGTAATACGATTCCTTGTTCAAGAGCAGTGACAGTCCCACTGAAAAATACTTTGATAGTCTCTGGCTAAAAATAAACCCTGCGCCAAATGGAATGTCATGCAACAATGACACACAGCAAAGCAGTGTGTGCTGTCAAGTTTAAAAAAAAAAAAAAATAAAGGTACCTAATCAGCTTGTTTAAATATCTACTGTCTGTTTCAACAGAAATATTTGTGTCCATCTGTCGAATACCTAAAACTGGTGGGAAGGAGGTGATTTGGCAGCTTGCTCCCAATTTTGTACAGAAAAAGGAATTTATGAAGCTGACTCCCAAGCATACTTTCAGGATCCCCAAGGCATGCTTAGTTTAAAGAGGCTAGAGATGATCTCAACTCTTAACATTATAATGTATTGTAACACACAGAATGGCTTTGAAACTTCTGGGTATTATAGTCATGAAGTGTAAATTGTATCATATCAGAGAGTACTGACTTCTTGCACTTAAGTAATATTTGTACATGTTGCTATGCCAAGGAAGTCTCACTGAATTAAACTACAAAATGAGTTTGCTGTCAGGAATTCAGTATGTTTACTTGGCATTCTTCTGTCCTTATGCAAAGAACCACCACAGAGTTCCAGCCCCTTCACAACCACAGGCAGCATCAACTCTACAGGCTAACATGTCCATCAGACTGCTAATGAAAGACTTAGCCTGGAGAAAACTAGGCTGGTACCTCTTTCAGACTTACTAAGAATGAAGGAGACTCCTGAGTTTGTTGTGCTGCGGTTCCTGCTCCAGATAGTATTTCCCCAGAAATGGAGGAGGACGTATCTGAGCTGCTTTCCTCACATTCCAAGCAGACCATGGACAAGGCAGCTGAGGGCCAGGATCTATATAAATACATAGATAAATGCTGTGCTCAATCTAATTTGTCCTGTTTGTTAGTATATTAGTTTGCACCCAATGTCACAAAAATATAGGAAAAAACATAATCCAGCTAGGTTAAACAGTGAACAGAGCTCAACACAAACACAAACAAACCGTGACACAATGAATCTAGACTGTGTGCACATATGATTCTTCCTCTTAAGAACCAAAAAGAAGACTGATTAATTACAAAATAGTATTGCCTTTCACTCACATAAACTGAATCTCCTTGGTAATCTGGTTAGTTCAGGTGTGCTTATCTGTTGTTTACCCCCTTCATATCCGTTTACCTATGTTTCCTATCAAATGGAACCACTTTAAACTCATTTTCCCAGCCCATTTTAGGATTTATGCTGTTTTCTGTATCTGTCTCTTTTCCTTCTTTTATTGCTTTTTAAAATGTATTTGATATATACATTATGTATGTGTATGTTGATATATGTACGTATATATATATATATGCATATAGATGTTTAAGGTCTGTTGATTGACCTTGGCAACTATTCTGTTTAGTTTTCTGTTAAGGATTTCAGGCAAGAAGATATGTAAATATAATACACATACATAAAATCTTCAGCTTGCTGCATCCCTCTATAAACAAACTTGCACTCCTGTGATAGTTCCTGACACATCACGAGCTCATCCATTTATTTGCACTGATGTACACATAAAACCATGGATGTATTTCAGAAGACTTTGAACTGTTTTGACAATATGCCCTGTGATATGCAACCAAATATTTGCAAAAAGGCACCAGCCTCTTAACTGATACTCCCCATCCAGTTGCCAAGCAACCAGAAGAGCTGTAAATACAGCACAGCAAAGGGTGTCTGCTCTCCTGCTGCTTTTATTAGCTTAGTGATGTTTGTTTTTCTTCAAATTTCTGAAAGGCAGCCATGGCTGTGCAGCCCAAGACAAGTTTTTGGCCACCTCCCCTACCTGTTAGTGTGCTATGGTAAAAAGGCCTGCCAGGACACCCCAGCACACATCTATTTCCATGGTCTGGATTAAGGAACTCAGTGACAAACTTTTTTCTTTTTACATTAATGGAGGTTTCTGAGCATTTTGTGATTCATTCATGCAGGACACTTTCAATCTCAAGGAATTTTGCCTTAGATTGTCAAATAAGATAGATCTGCCTATTTCTTTGTCACCAGTGCTCTTAGGAGCAGCTCTGGAAGGGGGGCTGCAGCTGGAGCAGCCGCAGGTTGTCAAAATACCAAAATGGCCACCACTGCTACCTGCAGTTTGCCTGCCTGCCTCTCAGGTGTGTGAGGCTCGGCGTTTTCCACATTTCCACTGCGCGCGTGTCTGCACTGCTGCATTTTGCCCTCTGCTTGCTTCTGTGCACAAGCGGTGTGGTTGACGGCAGGAAGGCAGCTGCACCAGCTTTGGATGTCTGGAAAGGCTCTGCCTTCAGCCGTGCTGTGCTGGATCAGCCTACCTGCCCGCTGCACTCCCCCACACGCCAACAACCAGGGCTCTCCCAGCAGCCCCGGCCCTCGGGCAGGTGGCCGCCCCCCGGTGTCAGTCCTACAGCAGGACCGTGGAAGAACGGCCATGAGGCACGATCCAAGTCAGGAGAGGCATGCCTTGTTCCAGACTTTTCCAATACTGTGGATGAAAGCATTTTGGCTTTCACTTTTGCAAACAGCAAAAATATTGTCCTTTTTTGTAAAAGTCCGAGATTTACAAATAAAACCCTTGCAGTCAAGGACATAAAAATACAACCCTCTCCCCACAGCCCCCTGAACGTTCCAGGACATGTCCTGTGGCTTCATTGCTGCATCTTCTCTGCCCTCACCGGGCTTCCCACACAGAGCAGCTGAGGACGATGCCCCAGCTGCCCGCTTGGCCTGGGTGAGCTGGTGAGAGATGCTGGGCAGCACAGAGCAGCGGGCGCAGCGTGGTGTGTGGGACTTGCCACAGTGGTCACTGCACGCACAGCTGCTCTGCAGAGGGGCTTGGCTTCGGCCTGTGGTCAGTTGTGGGCTTGGCAGCACAGTAGGAACCCAACTGGAAATTTGTCAGCTCAGGTAGAAATCATAGGATAGTCTGAAACAGGTCCATGGCAGCTCCTTAGCCCAGGGATCCCCCTTTGTTGGCTGGCTCTGGTGCTGCAGCTCCTGCTGCCCGTGGGGGACATCCCGGGGCTGCTGTCAGTGCCATGCACAGCGCTGCTGTCTGCAGGCCTGCAGCTGATGGGGCACTGCTTAGAGGGAAAAGGCTTTTAACAGCATCTAAATGCAAGGCAAGGCGAAGTGAAGCAAAGCCAGAAGCATAAAGGTGAGGTGGGAGGTGAGGTAAGAAGCCATGGGCTGAAGAGCAGAAGATGCATTACACTACAACAGCATTGTAAAGTAATAGCATTTAAATTCCATGAGACAGACGTAAAATTATTGGCTTTGAAAGATGCAAATAACATGCGTAGTATTTATTCACTAATTCTTTCTATATCAGGAAGTTAGGGAAAAAAAAATAATCATCAGCTTCTGTACTATACTTTTATTCACTGTTTGCAAATGTGAGTAGGTGAATGCTCATTCATAGAGACACTGGTTGAGAGTAACTCATAGGGATGCTCAGGGAAGATCAGCTTTTGACTGGAAACTACGGCAAGGGAGGATAATGCGGTGAGGCAGTGGAGTCAACAAAACTGTTTAGTTCATCAGTATTACACTTCTGAAAACAATTAACTGGTGAATTCTTGAAACACTCACATCATTGTCCCTGAGAAGCAGTTGCAGAATAATTGAATATATGGGTAAAAAGAAAAATTAAAAAATGCAGAACCTGTTAACTGACTATTTGCAAACAAACAAAAAAGGAGTATCTACATCTACTATTGTGTTAGGCAATTAACATGTATAATTAACATGTATACAAGTAGCACTAATATGTCAAAAGCATTTTTTTTTTCAGTATGTATTGTATTCAAATGTAATATTTACAGAGTATTCAGGTGTACAAATTCATTTGATTATTTTTTAGAGGTTTTATTTCATTTTGCCTGTATGTTTGGAATGTGCAGCTGTCATGTCCAATCTCACAGGGTACTATGTGCAAAATTCTTTTCCCATTTCTGGGTTTAAGTGTCCTTCTTAGGAAGGCACTACAGGATGAAGTCTATTGTTATTTCAGATTAGTTAGAACATATTCATATCTATTATTTACTTAAAGAGGCTGTAAGCTGCTCCTGTACACTTCCATGTAATTTTGGTAACATTCAGATGTCACAGAAAATGAAATGGACATTAAAATAAAACATGTTATTACAAAAATAAAGCAGAAGGAGCTCTATAGTCCACATAGTGAAACGGGTGTTTTACAACAGCTTCCATGTGACAGTGGATTAAAAGAAGTGTACAGAAGACTAGTACTGCTATTTTTATTATCACAATACTACAGTGGCATTTGCACAGGGATTAATCTTCCACATGCGCAGAGAGGAGAAAATGAATCTATTATATCAGCGATTTAGGAACATGAAGCTGGAAATGCTGAGCAGCACTAACTCCTTGTCCAAGTTAAGCACATTTCTTTTGAGATCCAAATGATGGAACTTTCTTTCTTAACTCAAGTTCCCCAAAAGCTGCCTTCCCTTGTGTTCTTTTTTAAGTGCCCAATTGCTCTGATTTCAATTTCCTGCCTAAAAGCTTACTGAAATAATCCCCTTCTCTCAAATTTCATAATATAATAAATACAGTACGGCTAAATCTGTCGATTATAGCATGCAGACAGAGAAATCATTAAGATGATGTTCATTATGAGGCCTATTCTTGCACAACAGAGCAAAACTAATTGAATAAAGAAAGCTGACATGAGTAAAATGATTGAACATTCATCCAGCCTCAGTTGTTCTTCAGGACAGATGAAGACAGGCGGTGATCTAGAGGCCCACAGAAATTCTGCATCCAGCTAGGGAACTCAACAAGCTTTCCTCAAAATTGAACTCCAGGTTTCAATAGATGCCTCCTGTTCTTAGAAAGTTTTACTTGTCATTTTCAGTATTGTATCCTTTATTAATCAGACTGGAGGAAAATCGTAAGCCAGGATTCCACAGTAAGTCATTTTCTGAATCTGGTATTAGAAACCAGCAATCCCTGAATTACAGAATCACAGAATGGCTGAGGTTGGAAGGGACCTCTGAAGATCATCTAGTCCAACCCCTCTGCTGAGCATGATAACCTAGAGCACATTAAGCACGATGGCATCCAGGCGGGTTTTGAATATTTCCAGAGAAGAAGACTTCACAAACTCTCTGAGAACAATTATCTTACTGTTAAATTTCACTGTGTGTCCTTTGACAATTTTAGATAAGAATATTTATTGCAGAAGGAAAGTGTGGAATGGCATAAAGACTTAATGCAGAGAAATGTTTCTTACCTGGAAGGTCAAATATATGCTTATTCAATTATAACAGCATTAGCTAGCATGTCTCAGAGGATAACATTTTGTGCAGAGTGTGAGTAGAGGCAGTCAGTGCTTACTTTTCTGGCCTGCAGCTGGTCCAGCACATCTGAGTGGTTCAGGGAAGGTCAGAAGCACTCCGAGAAAGGAATTCTGAGAGATAAATACTCCAACACCTCCTTTTCCTTGTGCACTTGGTGGACTGACAGAGGCAGCTTGTTGACCCAGGTGCCAACCATGACAGTGTAAGACTTTAGCCAGTTCTCCCCTCCTTCCTTATCTGTGTTTGCTGGGAAGGAACACTGCCTATAAGACCACACCAGCTGCATTTCATCATATCTACCCCAATACTATGCAAAACTGTTAGTGAGTATACTTTTATTGTTACTTTTTTCCCCATTACTTATGTGTCAGAAACAAATCCATTTTCCATTTATACCCTGGTTGCTTTCAGCAATGAAATCAATACATGGTACTTACTGATGGCATAAGAAAGATGCCATGAGGGAGTTCAGTCAGCAGGGAGATAAACACTGTTATAATGAAGTTACGGGAAGCTTGATAAAAAGAAATCAGATAATATTTGTCCTTCTTTACAATACTGAGCATTAAAATAAGAGTGACTTCGAAAAGCAGGCCAAATTACTACCTGATTTGGCATATTTTCCCCTTTGATTATAATCCAAACCTCTTCTTCCTTCTGAAGCAACTCAACACAGGATATTTTGCTAATGTGATTAAATTATCAGCTTTACAAGTGCTTAGAAACATCAGAGCACTCAAATTGTTCATAAATAGAACTTGCAGTTTTAAGAGAGAAATTTTCAATGGGTTGCAAAATGTGGAAAGAGAACTGAAAACAACATTATTCTCTAGGAGAAACCTGAAGTGTTAACAGGATACACATGGATATAAGAAGAACTGACCAAAACCAAAGCTCAATGCCAGACCTCTGAAAAGGATCTGCTGCAGTCTATTGTTAGCTATTATGCAGCTGTTACACATAGGTATGCTGAGAGAATTTCAGGTATCCCGAAGTGATAGGGAACCTGGAATGATAAAGTAACAGTAGCAGTCAGTTTCTGGGAATGTTTTGGATAACAAAAAGAATCTCACACTCCAAGTAGCAACAGAACCGACAAGTCGAATAGGTGTCCTACCTCTGACAGCACACTGAAGATGGAGTCCCCAGAAATCAGGCTAGCTCAGTAAAGCAAACGGAGCTAACCTCCAGAATGCCTGTACATCCCTGGCTGGGATGGAGTTAACTTTCCCTGCAGCAGCCCATACAGTGCCGTACCTGGCACCTGGAGCTGGAACAGCACTGGTATCACACCAGCGTTGTGTCTGCTGCTGAGCAGTGCTGGCACAGCATCAAGACTCCCCCCAAACCACCCCCACTCCCCCACACCACCAGCAGGCTGGGGGTGGGCAGGAGGTGGGGTGGGGACATCACCAGGGCAGCTGACCTAAACCCGCCAAAGGGATATTCCATGCCAGGTAGTGTCACACTCAATAAGATGTGGGAAAGGGGAGGGAGAGGGGAGGCTCTCATTGTGAAGACGACTGTCCTCCCAGACAACCACTACGCCTATTGAGGCCCTGCTTCCTGGGACATGGCTGAACATTGCTTGTTGATGGGAAGCAGAGAATAATTTTTTTTCCTCTCTGTACTTTTGTGAGGCTTTTTTTTTTCCTCTTCCCTTCCCCTTTAATTAAATTATTCTTATTTCAACCTGTGAGTTTTTTCTTCTCTTTTTTTCTTTTTTCTTTTTTTTTCTTTCCAGAATACTTTCTTCTCCACTTCTGAGGAGGGGGAGTGAGGGTGCGGTTATGGTGGAATTCAGCTGCCCAGCAAGGTAAAACCACCAATGTGGCTCAAAAAAGAGTAGCTAAATTGAATCCTGACTTTGAGAGAATTAAGGGTCAATTTCTTTTTCCATTAAAAAGGAGACTATACAGTATGAAGTGAAACATGAAAACCCATTGATAAATGCAAGAGAAAAAGATGCATTATGTTGCTGTCAAATTATGCTTACAGAATACACATGTTCTTAATAATGTGAAATGGAAAAAAATAAAAAAGCAGTCATTACAGAAGACATATTAAAAATAAATGATTTATCTGAATATAAACTTTGTGCAAACCTTTTTCACCTAGTATTACAAACGCAAGGACTGATTACTTATGTAATGAACTGTTGAAAATAATGTGAATGAATACATAGGCTTGTATGCTCTCTGTGAATAGCATTTTTGTGGTGCCACAACCTAAAACAGAATATGGAGCTAGATGGAGCAATAGAAAACAGAAGATTTCTGTGTACCTTTATTACAGGGTAGGTAATATTATCTGTTTCCCCAAAGATGTGCATTGTGGTACCACTCAAAATACTTTATCTCTCTGTTTAGTCCACTGGTCTGCATGAGGATTAAGTATCATTCCAAGGACTATGACAGTTCAGTTTACAGAAATGCAAATTTGCCCATGACATGTATCAGTATCTCTATGGATAACAAAAAGTTGATAGCTGCCCACTCAATCTAACACCTCCCAAATAATTAAACAGCAATCCCCACCCCAGGAAAGCAGCCATATGGCACCAAGCTTGCTGGAGTTCAAGTGTTTAGACAATGCTCTTGGACATATGTAGACCCTAAGATCGTTGCAGTTTCCTTCCAACTGTGGATATTCTATGTTTCTACAAAAAATTGACATGTCTTGATGGCAGGTATTGACCCCAGTGTTATGAGTCCCCAACTCATAAGGGAAAGGTTGATTTCTCATGCAAATACTTTTTCTCTGATGAAAAACAGTAAGTACAAAAAATTACAACATTAAAAAAAAAAAGAAAAAAATTATTAATGCTTCGATAGGATGTCCCGATAAAAAAAAAATCAATTTACCTACACTGATTTGAAACACTATTGTAAAAAGGCAGTACAAACAGGGAGAAACATAAATTACTGCTAAACTATATCATGCTGCTAGAGCCAATGAGAAGATCTGTGTACTTTTCCTTATGATTATTACAATCTGGGAAGTAACACATCATCCACAATGAAAGACGGGAAATTTCTTCCAAGTACCAATCCTTCTACAAATCAGATTTCTCTTTTTGTCTTTGTAGACAGATTTCATCATAAATTTGATCCCTGAATTTCAACATATCTTCTACATCTTTGCAGGAGAGCATTTCTTCAACAGATAACAGCTTAAAGCCATGCAATTTAAAAGCTGACTTGTGCTGCACAGAATGTAACATGTTTAATGACATTCTAACTGATTCACTTAAACTAGAACAAACAGGAAAAATCCTAGCAGTCCACAACCCAAACTGTGTATTATCACTGGAGAAGAGCTGGCTTGAAACCTGCACACCCCAAAGGTCCAAGCATTCTAGTAAGCTGACTCCAAAAAATTGTAGTGAATATATATCTGAAAGCAATTTCACACCCTTTTTCAAGTCATCTTCTACACTAAATACCATACTTGCATACTTTACTTGATCATCAATTTTTACACTCAATGAACACAGGAAACAGTTTGAAGGTATGTCTACTCTCAAATTTATATAGGATCCACTGATAATGCAGTTCTTCCCTACTAAGACTTCAGGTCCAATTCTAGAGTATTCAATAACGGATCCAGGTCCTATAAGGCACCCAGGCTCAAGTATGCTTTGAATGATACTTGCTGATCTATCCAAGGTATCAGCTTTGTCTGAAAAGATGCTAAAGGCCTTAGACAGTAAATCAAGCTCAAATTTCAGTTTGCTATCAGATGTAAAATGAAACAAGTACTCCTGAGTAGTTCCAATGTGATAAAACTTAGAGTTGTTTAAGACTATAACATTAAGTGGAGTTCCTTTCAGAATAGAATATAGCTTCTGCCGTACTTCTACTAACTGCGACTCCTCTTTTGTGATGTTACTTGTATTTTTTGTGTAATCTTGAGTGGCTCCAGGTCCCAGGGCCTGAAGGAAGTCACCATATGCATCTATTTCACAGCAAAGAGTATCCATCTGCTTATAAAATACCAATAATTGTTTTGCAATGCTATGATCCATGTAAAATATACTGTCTGTATAAACACACTCTGAGTCCATTTCTGAGTCACTGTGGTCTCCAGAGGAACATGGCTGAGAACAATTTCCTCTTACGCGTACCGCACCACACTGGCGCATTGTCTCAATATCAGGCTTGTGTAGGAAACGATGGCAAGATGTGTATTCAAGTCCTCCTTTTCCTGAAAAACTGGATGGATCTAAAACAAACACTCCATGAGTGGTCCCAATTGTCAAATCTGAAGGGTGAGCTAAAGCGGTAAATCCAGGTTTATCGAATGTGATTGTTTCTGCAACGCCAGTGCTGTAAAGTTCTATGTCATCTGAACAAGTAATGAGAATTCCTGGTTTCATGTGACTGGGAAAATCAATGTACATAGCAAGCTTAAGCTCCAACATCTGGTAAACAGGATCACCAAGAGGCAAAGCTGTGAAAATCTTCCCCAGGGCACTTGCATTTGGTAAACGTTGACTATAACCACCTGGAAAAAAAAAGACATTTGTAATTACAAAGTATATATACAGTTCTTAAGTGTAAACAAGCATAAACAAAACTTATACAGCTACATAGCTTGATCATATACTATGTATTCCCTAGAAAATGTCAGATTTTTAAAAAATCATCCTTATTCTTAAACATTTCTCAATGCAGATCTGACCTTATGTCTAACATTTAGTATGCCTTAAGTAGCTTTTATTTAAACAGTGGTTGACTTCATTACCTTTACTTTTACTTTTACTTTTACATTACCTTTACCTTTTACTTTGCTTCAGAGCTGGAATCTGAACCATGTGTCTATTAACTAAAGTGACGAAATCAAATGACTCCTGCTCTTTGCTTGAAAATAAGAAGAAAGAAAAAATGCCTCAAAGCAATTTTAAATCTATAAGTATTCATTCTGTACGTATTTATGAGGATTCCCTTGGGCAGACCAGACTGCTTAAACTCGCATGTCAAGGCAGAAGATTAATTTAGATACTTTGAATTACATTTTCTTCTCCACTGACTGACTGAACAACTTAAGTGTTGAAAACAAATGCTTAAAAAACAACACCTCCAGAAATTTCAGCTGAAATTCAAACATCAGATCAGCGATGTTTGGGATTATTTTTCTAAGGGAACTATATTTCAGAACTCTTATTACTTACCTTCCAACATATTTAGAAAAAAAAAAAAAAGATATGATTTTAAAATGTGAAATGTCAAACAGTATTTACCAGAATGAATTAGCAGCACAATAAAAGAGGTCCATTTATCACCATAGAGATTCTCTAAGCACTGGAGAACATGAAGTGTTGATCCACCATTTCCTAAAGGAAGAAATATTTTATTACCGGCTGAAAAGAACACCAATAAAAAACGTAACTGACACGTGAAGCATCCTGGGATCTGGTGCTGTGGTAGGGTGATCAGGTATTGTTTTTTAAATGTTGATTCATTCTGCTGTAGAAAATAAGCTGTCATTTGTTTTTTAAAAGTCCTTGTGACTGCAGAGATAATTTTTTTAACAAACTGTAAATGGATGCACAGATATCCATCTGAAATTTCCTCAACCAGTTCTGACAGCACAGTCTTTCTACTGCACCACAGTTGATAGAATCATACAAAGATAATGGACGCTCACTCAGAAACTCTGCACTCAAAGTGAAGGGCACCTCGAACAGGCAGGCCTTGTGAAAAGACGTGCTTTTTCCTCCTATTCCTTCTCTGAATAACCTCAGCATTTGAAGTGTTTCATCATTCCTGTAGGCCATAACTTTACCGAAAAAATTGGCTTGAGCATGAAACACGTCACACAAAAACTCACGAGTGAGTTGATGCAAGCTTTCCAAAGTACTTTTGACATTTGCAATAAGGAAATGAGGGAAAAGTATAATTGTTTGGGATTTTTTTTTGGTGCTTCTACAACTTAAAACAGCCGGATTGCTGAAAACTAATCCTTGCCTACTATTTTATACTGCTGATATACTACCGAGATTAGTTACCTTCTACAGCAAAGCGAACTACTTATTATAGGATGATATTATGCATAGTAAGACTACTTTCTTCTAGGTTTTTGTTGCACATTGGTTAATGTATTGGAATAGAATCAGTTTAAATGTATCAGGTTAAGGTAAGCAGTAAGAATTTATTAAAATTAATTACAATTTATAGAATTTATATGGGAATTGAAGGGAAGGGAAGGGAAGGGAAGGGAAGGGAAGGGAAGGGAAGGGAAGGGAAGGGAAGGGAAGGGAAGGGAAGGGAAGGGGCCCCACGGGCCCCTCCGTGCCCCCGCAGCCGGAGCCCCCCCCCCGCCCCACGGCCGCCCGACAAACCCCGCTCCCCGCCGAGGCCGCCGGCCAGTGAGGTGCGCACCGATCTTGTGTCCCGGCGGATCCCCGAAGACGTGGTAGCGCACGCCGCGAGGCAGCTCCCCTCTCGCCAGCTTTGCGGCCAGCTGCCGCCGGAACGCCCGCTCCTGCTCCGCGTCGGCGGCGGTGATGGCCACGAGGTCCCAGAACTGCCCGTGCCGCACGGCTCTGCCTGCCCCAAGGAGCGCGACTCCCCTCAGCGCCAGCGCCGCGGCCGCGGCCGGGCCCGCCTCCCGCCGCCTCCCGCCGCCCAGGGCCCCGCGCGCTGCCCACCCCCGCGGCCCCCGGCCCGGCCCCCCCCACCTCGGAGCGCGGCGAACCGCGCCAGCCGCCGCCCCGTGGCCTCCCGCCGCGCCGCGCTCCGCTCGCCCGCCGCCGCCGCCGCCATCGCCAGTGCTGCCGCGCCCCGCCCGCCGCCGCCGCGGCCTAGGCGGAAGAGCCGCGCTGGGAGCGGGGCGGGGGCGGCCGCAGGCAGCGCTGGTGCTCGGCCGCTGGGCCCCGGGCGGGCTCCTAACGTCTCACCGTGTGTAAATCCTACCGTAAAAGTTGCTCCCGAAGCACTGCAGGAGGGCTTGAAAAGCAGCTACGTACAAGAATTAGGGATTTTTTATTTTTTTTAAATAAAGTGGCCAAAAATCCATGGTCCGATGCCTGCAGACTGCTGGCAGAAGATTAAATGAATAAATACTTCACTGCTCTTTCAGTTTGGGACTTTATGTGATGCGTGTGATGCATTTTTGTTCTAGCTTCTGGTCATTATTCAGACTTACTAAAATACCTGTTTGCACTCGCTAAAGTAATCAAAGTCTGTTACTGAATCCAAGTAGTCATGGTAATCATCCTTTTTGTACTTATTCCAGATTAATGCCTATTCATACTTTAACTAGTAATAGTTTAGGATCTGTTAATCTCATAATCGATTCCAGGAAATACTCGTTTTTCATCTGTACCGTATTTCTTTGTCCCCTGAAATGAAGGACTGACTGTCCAGAGGAGGGCCAAAAAGGGCTGGAGCATCTTTCCTAGGAAAACAGGCTGAGAGAGCCGGAGCTTTTCGGCCTGGAGAAGAGAAGGGAATGTTATAGTGGCCTTCCCGTCCCCAAAAGGGGCTACAGGAAAGTTGGGGAGGACAGGAGCTGGGGTGTAGTGATAGGACAAGGGATAACAGTTTTAAAACGAAAGAGGGTAGACTTAGATTAATGAGACATTAGAAACAAATTCTGTACTACGAGGGTAGCGAGGCCCAGGCTGCCCGGAGAAGCTGTGGATGCCTCATCCCCGACAGTGCCTAAGGCCGGGCTGGATGGGATTTGGGCAGCTTTAAGGTTCCTTTCAACCCAAACCATTGTATGATTCTATAATTCACTGTGCATAGTAAAGAATCCCGGAGAGCTTTTGTAATAGCAAAACTGTTTACACCGATATTTTAACTTAAGTATAAATCCCCAAGTTGCATTTCTCTATGAAAAGTGTCTTCGCAAATAGCAGAAAACACTTCGTTGACTTGCTGAATATCTCACCTCCTATCTGATAATGCTGGCCCTCCCTTGTTCTGCAGTGTCTGCTGTAAACAACCTTAGACACAGCCTAGTCTGCGGTCCCTGCGTGGAGCGGAGATGATGGATTAACACACAGCTCATTGTATGTGTGTATGAACATTTGGTGGAGTAAATGAAATGTAAGTGGTGAGAAAATGTGCCAAGAGCAGATTACTTTGTGTTACCCTCTGGAATGCAATATGTCAAATAAAATATGTTGGTAGCACAACAGTATTTTTACTTAAACAGTTAGTGTTGGCAGCAAGTTCCTGTCCAGGGAAGGTAGAACAGGGCTTGGTGGCAGTGTTCAGACTGCTGTGGAAGTTTTTTTTTTTTATTTTTTTTTATTTTATTTTATTTTATTTTTTTTGTGAGAAGCTCCCAGGACACACAGTTGCAGGGGGGATGTGGTGAGAATGGGATCTAGGTTAATGAATCCTGAATGTGTCTCCAGTGTTGCAAAGCAACAGCGCTGTAGTGCCAGGAGTGTATGGCAGAGCAGGGGCTGCCCCAGAGGGAAAGGCTCGCCTCACCCTGAGTTTCTCATAGCAGATCCAGGCAGTGCAGACCCACCACGAGGAACGATGTGAAGGCAGAGATCTGACCTGCTGAGGAATCCTTCCTGATATTCAGTTACTTACGGGAAATGACTAAATGAATAACGGGAATGAAGGAACAAATAGATGAACCATCAAATGGCAACACATACGGCTAGTCGATCATCTGTAGAAGCATCTTTTTTAGCTCCTTTTTTGTTTGTTTGAACAGACTAATGGTTGGCAGTATGTATAACTGAAATATTTTCGCAAACAACTGGAATATTTTTTTTAGAGCTGTTATACTGGAAAGCCTCCAAGTGAAGAATTGAGCTTACTGTTTATTCCTCACATGAGAATTTAGGTTATTCCAGGACAGTAGCAGATGCCATAATAAATCTTGCAGATGTCATAATAAATCTTGCTTTATTTACTGAGAGAAAGGTGATGTTCAGTCTGTCTGAAAGGTCAATATACAGGTGGGAATAAAAAGCAGTAAGGTCTCAAATTATTTATTATTGAGAATATTTAAATATGCCTATTTATAATACCTGCAGATGTTTTTCAGATGAGGATTTGAGAGTTGTAAGTGTTATTGAAACAACTGTTACACTCCACTGTTCACAAATATATTCTGCTGTAAGGTGAAGTAAGCTTGACTATAATTTTGGCAATACATGAAGAAGACAGAGAAGCCGAAAAAAATACAAGAGAATTGTGGAAGACAGCTGAAATTACGTGTTGGTGTTTTGCTAAGCTGTAAGATACTAGAAATTCCTATTTTTGACAATCAAAAATGGCTAAAAGAAGGTGAGATCTAGTTGAATTTACATATGGCCCAGCTTCCACCCCAGATAAAGCTATTATTTCACTCACTTGTCTTTTGCACAGTTTAAAGCACCAAAATAATTTTTCCAGCATTTCATTTCTTCTGTATGCAATATCGGACATTGCTCTGAGAATTTTTAAACCCTGTGCAAACAAATGTCTCTGTAGAAGTGAATTGAACAGTCATTGACTGCATTGAATTGTTGTCTTATCTAGCCCTTCCTTGCTGTAAGACAGATACCCAATAGTGCAGAAACTTGGCCCATTCTCCCAGCCTTTATTTGCAGCTGAAATAAAGTAATTTTTTTTTATCACGTATGGACAAGTAGACCAGCTTGGAAAAAAAAAAAAAAAAGCTAAAATCCTGCAGTGTAAAACTTCATATCCGTAGCAGTAGGAACAGCAGAGTTATTGGGAACACCAGAGCCATAGCCTCTTGATGGCCTTCTGGCAATACAGCCAGTGTTTTGATGGACACTAACACAGCTGTCACGTGGGAATTAGAAATATAATGGTATGATAAAATGCTCCATGAAATACCTCACCATGCTGCTGTATGCTTATCCTGGCTGTATAGTGCTTCACCAGTTGTGGAACAGGCTGGAATTTGGGAACATATTGACTGACTTGGAGCCAGTCTTTACTTTTTCTCATCTATTCCCAGGTTTTTGTGTTTCTATAAGGTTATAAATTCGAGCAGTGTTCACAAAGAAATATCAGAATTAATAGACTTGATGTGTTTAGAAAAAACACTGTAGGCCTGAAAGTAGGAACTAATTTGAGGTCATTGCTTAATTATGTCACTTACTATTTTGAAGAAAGAAGGCCTTCTTTGCTTATTTAACATACTCATCTAAAAAGGACTGGAACACCAGGAGTCAAATAACGTGTCATTAGAAAGTTGAGGTTCCTTGAAGAAAAATTAGATCATACCAGGATACATTTTTCCTAACGTCAAAATCCAAGGGTTTGCTTTTGATCTTGTAAGGGATCTCTGAATATGTGAAAGGGGCTCAAGGATTGAGATAAGGACGAGAAAATCACGCAATAATTAGTGTAACGGGCAAACCAGACTCAGCATAAGAAGACAGATAGTAAGATTTATTGCTCATTACTAACAAGCTAGAGAAATGAGAAACAAAGGAAAGAAACCAAAAGCACCTCCCCCCCCATCCACCCTCTTCCACCTCCTCCCCGAGCGGCGCAGGGGAACGGGGGAATGGGGGTTATGGTCAGTCTACAGCACTTCTTCTCTGCCGCTCCTTCTCGGTCACTCTCGTCCCCTGTGCTGTGGGGTCCCACCCACGGGATGCAGTCCTTGACGAACTGATCCGGCGTGGGCTTCCCACAGGCAGCAGCTCTTCCAGAACTGCTCCAGATATGGGTCCGTACCACGGGGTCCATCCCTCAGGAGAAAACTGCTCCAACCTGGCTCCCCTACGGGCAGCAGCTCCTGCCAGATCACCTGCTCCTGCGTGGGCTCCTCTCCACGGGCTACAGGTCCGGCCCAGAATCTGCTCCGGCAGGGGTCTTCCACAGGCGGCAGCCTCCGTCGGTGCAGGGCCACCTGCTCCACCGTGGTCTCCTCCACGGGCTGCAGCGTGAAACCCTGCTCCACCGTGGTACTCCATGGGCTGCAGGGGGACATCCTGCTTCACCATGGTCCTCACCACAGGCCACAGGGGACTTCTGCTCCGGCGCCTGGAGCACCTCTCCCCTCCTTCTACACTGACCTTGGCACCTGCAAGGCTGTTTCTCACTCCCTTGACTCTCCCGGCTGCTGTGTGGCGCAGCAGTTTTTTCTCTGTCTTAATATGCTCTCACAGAGGCGCAAAACAACATCGCTTATTGGCTCAGATTTGGAAAACAATGGGGCCCTTCCCAAACATGGGGCAGCTTCTAGATCTTTCTCACAGAAACCACCCCTATGGCCCCCTGCTACCAAAGCCTTGCCACGTAAACCCACTACAATATGTCAGAATTATTCAGGTAAAAAGACAAGAATTCATTCTCAACAGTTTGCTCCCTTCCCTTCCCTTCCCTTCCCTTCCCTTCCCTTCCCTTCCCTTCCCTTCCCTTCCCTTCCCTTCCCTTCCCTCCATCAGAATTTTAATCAAGACAGATAAAGGATCATGGCATTATTTTTTTGCTTATTGATCCTTCTTATTTCAATTTTTTTCACTGATATTTTTTGTCTATTTTTACTTCATGGATTAAAAAAGAAAAAGAAAAATTGCTGTGCTCCAGTGATAGTGTTGTTGAACTACTAAGCTTACTAAGAGTGACAGTGTCTGTATTATTATTTTGAAAGATCAAGTGTTTCCTCCGGGAGAGTGACATTTTCACACTCCAGCTACAAAATTAAAAACAGTCTCAAAACACTAATGCTGTGGATATCCAGAGTAGTGTGCTCTGTTTGGAGAAGGCTGATGGAGCTGGTTACTAACGTTGTGTTACAACCAAGATGTCCATGTGGGATCTCTGGAGCACCTTGCCAAAGTTCGTTCGGTGGCTTTGGTGTGTCAGAAGCTGTGCCTGAAACCACTGAAATGAGGTTT